TTAGCTTTTTCAGGAGATGGTTTGAAATAAATATTGTAAATGGTAAATGAGTACAAACGCATTTTCACAAAGAGCAACCCCAAGAATTTCATGCTCGTTCTTTTCAGGGGAATCTGCCTTACTAATGAGCAGTAGATTGTAATCAATATGATGATTTCAAGTGTAATTTGCTTACCTATGAAATAAAGATTGACTTTGACTTTATTATCTGTGTATCATAAAGAATCAATGATTTCATCTGAAGTTCCAAACTTCGTCTATACATTACGTGTATAATGTTATTGTAACCAAGATAACAGTGAATGTAGTAGAGCATCACGGTAACCTTAGTCTGGGCGAGTGCAGGAACCGCAGTGGCTTGAAATTATAGCCCGCAGTGTGGTATAACGGGTACGTTACATACGCGGTCAAAGGTACGGGTGAAAGCGGGTGGTGACGGGTTTGACAAAATTTGAAGAAGGCTAAGGAATTATCCAACGCACATGTGGTGCTCGCAATGCTGTAATAATGCCATGTGACGTGTGAATTACGACCGACCGCGAAACACAATTCGACCTCAAATTATGCAGCGGTTCTGGTACTCACTAGAAGAACTATTCTTTCATTAATTAAATTTACGAACAATCAACACTAATACCCCGGTAGATATTTATCGTCTTTCTTATGTAAATACGATAAATTTAATATAAAAACACGACTCTTGTAATTCAAGCCATTTAACACATACTGATAGTATCCACGGCGGTGTCTCATTCGTCTGGCTTAGTAGCATTTGTGCTATGAATATTGAATATAAACTATTGCAAGCGCATGCCAAGAAAGAATTTTTAATGCTGGCGTATTTCCAACATATCGAGAATGTGCACCCATTGAATGAAGATAATACGAGTGTACTAGAATCTGATGAGAAATGGGGTAATTGAAGATTGCTGCTAGCAACATTAGGTCCAATATGACAAAACGTTTTTGGTACTTGTGATCTTTTAACATTCTTAAATCCTAGACGGTTCTAAGTACTTAACATAATATGTAAATAAAAAATCAAAACCAGTAAACCTATTTGTGTTTATTATGTGTACGTATTAAGTTTATACTGCATATTTTTAAATCGTCGCCTTGCTTTCTCAAACTCGTATCTTAATCTTAATGCATAAAGTTACTGAAATGTAAAAAAATAGATTATATTTATAGTTTTATACAGGTTTTGAGATTATTAGATAGATTTTGAGAGATTTATACAGATTTTGCAGACTGATTTCCCATCACATTTCTTTCGTATTTACCTCTACACTGGCTGTGTTACCTAGATTAGAAATTTGAAATAAATATAAATGTTTGCATCGAAATGATTACTTTTCCATGCGTTTAAAGTTGAACTTTAAAATTAGGAATTAATCATATTTACATTAATAGCTATCGGTCAAAACAGAAACGCTAAATTGAAATTATCTGTATTTTTTTTTTTCATTATTTTGTGTTTAGATTTTGGGAATGACCAGACGACATCATAGTTGAGTAAGGCTAGCACAAGATTATGGCGGATGGCACAAACTACGAGAGGCTTGGTGAAATTACAGGCACGTGGGACTTGTCAACTTATGTCTCAGGGTGACGTGCGCAGTGGCAGTGCCCGCATTTTGGTCGTGATTTACATCTCTGAGTGGCACTGCAACCGCTATGGACAGATGTGTCGCTTATCACCACGCGCACGACTTGTTCGTCTCGTCCTTCGGTATTATAAAAGAAAGGCACATCAGTATATGTAGTCGGGTACTAATTCACATAGACTGCAACATTTTCTCGACTTCAAATCAATGTCACTGCAATGTGTATAGTCCAAAATATTTTTAATATTTTTATTGTCGGTACCAACGGAGATGCAAGGATGAAATAATTTGAAATTATTTCTACACGTTCCATTTTTAACGATAGTACTTAAGATAATCGATAAAAAAATACTTAAATAAAGAAAACCTAAGAAATCGAGATTACTTTTAGGTCCGGCTAATTCGATGTACCATTGGATTTACAACAATAAAAAAGGGGAAATAACTAAAAAACAAATCTAAAGAATCATTAAAAAGTTCTCAAAGTGAAACGTGTGGGAAACCGACGTACTTTAATGGGGGGAAGGATAATTCGTAGCACGTCTTAGCTTCCTGCGTATAATATCACAGTGCAATTACTAGTTGCAGGTGCTCAACTCTTTAGTACACAAAGCAGTGTAATTATTAAAGATTTAGAAAGGAAAGTTTGTAGGCTGCGCCACCATTATGGTGCTTATTATTGTATTTTGATATTAAGTTTATTGGATATCACTATGTTAAGCGACATCTGTAGTCAGCCGCTGGTAGCGGTAAAAGTAAGGCACTGAAGGAAAAACTTTCATAAAATTTTCACAGATGGCGCTACGGCGAAAAAGACGTTAAAAACCAAAAACAAAGATCTGCAACAAGCGCATGAAAAGATTCATATGGTCCGCTGGCAGTTATCAGCCACGAGTCCAGCCGAATTGAATGAATCACACTTTATCTAGGTACTTGACTGCGAAACCAGCTCTCTTGCTAGTCGCATTAATTGTGACACAAAAGTCAATAATATAGTCCATCCAATCCATCTAGTTACAGTAAAATTATGTAATAATAAACACTTAATTAGTTACGTGGTAAATTCGTGGGAACAAAATAAAATTAACATTTTATAGACTACTGGCATCTCTAACAGTCTGTGGCAGCAACATGAAGTAATATCAATCTTAGAAACCATTATAATAATGAAACCAGTCCAGACTAGGCCATCCAGGGTCTGATAGACCCATATTAAGGTTGTTGCCTCGATCGCCTTGTCTTTACTTGAGGTCAAGGTATACATAAATAGACTTTATTGTTTTAGTAGTACTTGTTTTGTTAATTAATTATTTGCACCCATAATTATGCATGTGTCAAACCAGTTTTATGCAGTAGACTTCTCTGAGCAACTTTGCATATATTTTCCTAAAAATCCGCGATGGCAATGACCCAGTTTATTCAAATTCAGCATCGCGGTGTTATATTTTCCCTCAAATGGCGACTGGACTGGCAATGGTCGAAATGGTGACTACCATTTCGACCGAATTCTGATTATTTCATCCGGTGGCGCAGTCAAGGTGTTAACTGCAAAGTGTCATATCCTAAAAAATATTGATTATATGAGGGAAACTTAGGTATCAATTCGTTGTTGTAACGACTGCCTGGACTTATATCATAGTTTGAATCTAAACTTACAGTTACAGTTAACTTGGCACGTAAAAAAACACTTTGCATGCATTAATTATGCCATGCGCTCATTGAACTACCTAATATCGCCCCGTTCTTCACTGACTGCCGTATCTGACTTTTTAATCGTGACGACTACATCTTATTCAAGTTTCAAAAGGGAACGGTTTCCATTAACTATAACGTGTCTACATATATGAATATATAACTCATGAATAGAACGAAATTGACGTGAGCGAGAAGCGAATTCGCGGTGTGAAATGCTAGACCGTAGATATATAGTCAAGGGAAAAACGACACGTAATGGTAGTTAACTGCAATGGTAAGACAAGTTTACAGCAAACTACAGGCAGTTGTGATTTTTGTATAATCTGACACTAACAATGACCCATTATTAAAGACCATTTATCTATACATTAATCAATCCATGATTTGGACCCAAGTCAATCGAAATCTCATCATCATCATCCACAGCCCAACTACACCTACTGCTGAATATAGACCTCTCGTAGGTTGTGTCCACTATAGGAGCTCCCACGTTTCTATTGTCATATCTATATTAAACTTATGTACCGAGGTAGTTGCGATGATCTACTTAGCTAAATCAATTGCAATATTAAAAAATCTTATGAAACGACATTTCCTTCAATACGCAAGTCAGTGACCTACTAAATATGTCATGTTGTTTCTCCCCCGAAAAAGACCAAGTTTCACCACCGGATTTCGAGGACCGCTTCATGTCCAACATTGGGTTGTCGTTTTACTCCACCTTCCATTACTACGACTATATGTCTTGCCAAACTCCATTTCAGCTCTTTTATCCGATACTAAAATAAAACGTAATTTATTAAAATGGTCCAAGGTTAATTTTCACCGGGCACTTGTATTAATTGAATGGGAAACTTTTCATTTAAATCTCACCTCAAATATTTTGTGGATCGCTTCGTTGATTAATGATACAAATTGATATAACACTTGCCGACAAGGCGTTTCAAAAACACCTAAGCCTTAACAGTTACAGAGCAAGCAAAAGATTGAAAATGTAGTTCTAAAAGGCTATGGCTCATAACTAGATAAGAGTATGTCTCAGGAGGCAGTGTTCGATTAGGTGGCACGAAATATGAGCCTGTGTGTAAAAAACAAAACAAAATACAAAAAGATTGACAGTGAACATATAAATCGCCTGCCCTAAAACATTGCGGGTTGAGTTAATTATAATTCGATGTTCCAATAACAGGATAGAAATCCAGTAACATCTGCCCTACCACGAATCCGCAAATTCCCAATAACCAAATTGGGGAATGCATTTGCTGATTGATCCATCGCTGTGCTACTTCGACTTTCATCAAGCTTTATTGCAAAATGGAATTGAGATGGGAAATGAATTTCGTTTCCGAAACGTTTGTACTTGAAGTGATACCGGAATTTGCTGTAACAGATCTGATTTATGAAGGTCCATATTTCCTTCTATCTTCTATTATGTTTCATGAACAGAATGGTGTTTTCATTTCACAAGAATATACTTTTTCATCGTCTTTGAGGAAAAAAACTAGTTATAAACACAAGTATGATCAGAGTTGATAATAACTGATTGCAATGTCTGTCATTTCTTAGTAATCTACTTAAGCTCAAGGTCATTAATGATAGTGTAACCACTTTTACAAAAATTATTACATAAGTTACAAAATGTGACTCTTGTTCATTGAATTGTGGTTTCTAATGATTTTTATGTTTCTTTGTCCACAGCCGAAGCGAGTCGGCTCTGAATAGTCCGACAGAGCCGGATGTCTCGTTGGCGGCATCCCTCACCGACCCTCTTGAAGCCCACACCTTAGATGAAGCTAGGAGGACTATAAGGTACTTTCGTGCTCGTTACACAATCTCCTCTTAATATAAGTTTACGTTTGTTAATACAACTGAAATTACGTATCCACGATTTTTGTCACCTAAGATGTAAAAACCGACAGTGTGTAGTTCATTATATTTGTTAGAATTTCTTTGTTTGTTATTACAGAGACCTCCGTATGAAGTACCGAGCGCAAGCGCATCAACTGTTGACATGGCGACGCGCTCACCGCACCCAAGAAGAGCTCGTGTCCCGTCTACAACGGGAAAAAGCTGAGCAACTGAAGTCACTCTCCAGCCAGCTTTTGCTCTTCGAGTCAAGACTCGTACGCAAGCAGAAAGAAATCACCAACATGCTTGCCCTTAGGGAAACTATCATCATGAAACAGCAGAAGGTTATAGAGTCCCTGCAAGCCAAGTTACTCGACAACGGCATAGACACTTCTCAAACCATACCAGATTTCAGAGATATGCTTCAAGACACACACATCACTGGAGACTTCGATTCTCTGAATGACTCTGACTCAGCTGTGATAATGGAAGATGTGGATTCAGATTGCAGTAACCTCCCACATATACCTAGATTCAGGTCAGCGAACCCTGACAGTGTGACTATAGTTAGATCCATTTCAGATGCTATAGACCCTAATTTAAAATATAACGTTGTTAGGCGGCCTAACGGTTTTCTGCGACGACCAGAGATATTGGAAACTGTTTACAGCGTTGAAGAGGAAGCTGATGGTGATTCTACAAAAGGATTAAGTGCTCAAAGTAGCACTGAGAAGGATTTCAAGGACGCCAATAAAACTGATGAAGAAAAATTCAAAGAAACCAGTATCCACGCGCAGAGTCGACGGGATAACTTCAGGATGAGGAGCGTGGTGTTGACAGCTGAAGTTAAAAGCATAGATGGAGAAAAAGATCTCAAACCTAAAGCCACTAAAAATGTGTGGTCATATAGTTATGTGCCAAAAAGAATGACTCCCGCCAACGATTCTGACGAAGAAGCCACTTCTAACCCTGACAGCGACGAAGCTGAACAGGAGCCTAGGTCGAATCACGTCGTGACATACAATAGGGTGATGTCAAATCACAGGAACGTGACTAAACCTAAGGATGTGAAGTATAAGAGAATAAATAAGGCGAAGTCGAAAAGTTTGGAGGAACTGCGGGGAAGATTAAAGAATTGGGTGGAGAAGGGCAATAAATTGTCAAATATACCGCTCGAACACGCGCAGAGTTATGCCTGAACAACTTTATTGAAGTTCCTTTAATTAAGTTCACGTGTGAAATGCTCTGGAAGTTTTGAGATGGATCGAGTCAAATATGAATCTTAATTACTTGAGTGTGTAGTACTTTCAAATTCCACTTTTAACGTATATTACTTTCAATTTTTTCGAATAACATCACAAATTCTAATGCAATCACACGCAAGTTAACGTACCTTTTTAAAATTAGGTAGTCAAATTAACAGCTTTATATTGATGGAGGCAAATGTGTAGTTATCTATTCTTGATACTGATCTATTGTAAATAGTTATTTCTATATATTGTTACGATTTGTGCAAGTTAATAATTGTAAGATTGGTAGGAGTAATTTCATTGTTTGTTTTTTTAGCTTCCTTTTTGATTTCTTCAGTTTAATTCAAAATGAGATTGGAAAATTCTATGAGGCTACTTGACTGTTGCTGAATTTTTCTATGAACGTTAGTAATTTCAGTAATTTACTAAAACTCCGGAAATATTAACTTTTATATTAAAATCATTTCGTTATCTTTTAATATTAAAATAAAATTTTGGTTATCTATTCACGTTTGCAAGAGACAGATAATAAAAAAACGTCTTTCGGTTTTTCGCGGGGAATTTGTATACATGTTTGGTTAGGTAGTATTTTGATTTATCTGTCTGGATTTTATTAAGTGTTTTCTAGAACTATTGTTTTTCTAACGGGGCTGACGTGACCAGTAACGTCAAAGTCCCTAAATAAATAAAGAACTAAAAAAAAATATTTATACAAAATTCTTTTCCAGTATAATTGAACTATAATTGAACTATCTACAAATATGAAGTAATAAAATCATTGATAGGCAAAATGTCTATTGCTGGATTTAAAATATCATCATCAGTAACAAATTATTATTTAGTTTGTCGAATTATTGTTTTCGGTATTTAACACCGCGTCATAAATAAATATGAATATAGCCTGTTCTAAAATATAACTGCTTATATAGTGTGAATTTTAATGTCATCTGAAATATTATAAGATCAAAAAGGAAACTATGACAAAAACTTTCGAATTGGATTAATTCTTCTGTGTGCACGACTGATTTTAAGTATTTCTTTTAAATTTTAGTCTTAGGAAAAAATTAATATGCTTCTTTGGAATTGAAAAAAAAATACTGTGATTTTTTAAAATTATTCACCCTTTTCCTTATTTGGCATTTTATAGTTAATATTAGAATAGTTACATGTTTAAAATAGTTAATAAATACGTGTGAAAAATTAAAAATTAATATTTATTGTACTTCCCAGTGCCAATTGATAAATATTTAAATATTTTTCGCAAAATGTTGTAATAAGACATTCCGCAAAATGTAAAGTATATTTCTCGGTATAATTTGTGGTAAAATTTTAATTCTAAGTAAGTGTCTAGACAAAGAAGATAAGAAAGAAGATGAAGATGATTCGTAATGGAAAATTTGATAATTTTCAACTCTAAATCATCATCAATCCACTCCATTCCTCCATCCATTATTATGTGTTCATGTAAAATTAAAGAAATGCTATCGATTTAAATTTGATGAATGAAACATTTAATTTAAATTTAAAATAATGCATCATTTGCTTTAATTTATAAAAATACAACATTTATAATAATATATAAATAAAAAGAAACGTAATTTAAATTTAAAAGAATGCAAAATTTGCTTCAAGTTAAACAATTTCATAATTGATTTAAATTTAAAGAAATGTAACATTTGATTTAAATTTAAAGAAATGCAATATTAGATTAAAATTATCAGTAATCGTGTATTTAATTAAAATTTTACCATATTTAAATACCATTAGATCGATATAACGAGAAAACGGAAATATGTTTGTGTAGAATTGGCGTAAATGTTTTAAGTAGTGACCTGTCTAATCTATGTTCATAATTATTCTACAATAGTGAAAACACTGATATTGATAGTAAATATTCAAATAAAATTACTCATTTCTTTTAATTCTATCCCATTTCGTACATTTAAACCGCACATTACTATAATTCTGTAGAAAACAATATAATTATATTGTGGGTGTTTTAAAAATTCTGATAGGCTGCTACTAGACTACGAATGTAATATTAAATGTATGGGAGCGTTTAGTGTTAAAATTTAGGATATTTCTAGTTTTATTTTTAAAAAGTTGTTGACCACGTTTTACTCGCCAGGTAATATACTTTCAGTATTAGTTTAAATGTTTTTGTTATCTTTTATATTTATGAAATAATTGCCTGTGCACACTTAACAATTACACCCTGTATACATCTGCACGCAGTCGACACTAACTGCAAGCAATTATCGCCGTGTGACTAGTTCAAGAGCTCAGTATAAAAAACTGGTGTCGAAGTGGAAGCATAAACGTTATTTTGATTTCTATATCACTGGGAGGGAATATATTTTCACCATGTTTATTAGCTGTTACTTCTTACGTCCCATATTCCGTAGTCAACGTTCATACCTAGTCGGCCCAAATGTATGGATATACACATATGGATGACGGGACGCACAAGTCGTGCGCCTGGTGGTAAGCGACACGCCTATCCATAACAGTTGCAGTGCCACTCAGCTTTTAATCGCAAAGATCTTATAGGTACTGCCACTGCGCCCGTCACCTTGAGACATAAGTAAATTCACCAGCACCCTATCCTTCAAAACCGGAACAATCAGCTACGGCGGGGTAGTATGGTGGCCACGTACCAAACTGACAACCACAGCCGACAAACTGGACAAATTCCAAAGACTAGCATGCATGGCCACGATTAGCTGTATGAGGACTACTCCAACTGCGGCCCTTGAAGCGATGCTGAACCTGCCCCCTCCCCAACTGTTCATCAGACAGGAAGCGGCGACAACGGCGGTACGTTTAAACAAAGCTGGCCTATGGAAGCACAGGAGGACCCCACATACAGAAATCCTTTACAAGATTGTTAAGAAAGAACCGCTACTGGAGGCGGCTGTGGACAGGATCCCCAGACAATACATTTTCGACAAAAAATACAAAATACAGTTGTTTGAAGTTACCAGTGAAGGACTAAACCCCAAAGAGGTTCGCATTTTCACTGACGGGTCCAAAACAAATGCAGGAACAGGTACTGGGGTATTCTCAGAAGATCTCAATTTCAGGGTTTCAACACCACTTGGCAACCATAACACAGTATTCCAGGCTGAATGTATGGGTATCAAGTTGGCAGCGGAAGCAATCATAGCTAGAAGAGTACAGAACCACTCAATTCGTATACTCTCCGACAGCATGTCAGTACTTCAAGCACTGGGCGGCTATGACATCAACTCAGGACTTATCCATGAATGCCACCAAGTACTCACGGAGGTATGTACGGACAACCACGTAACACTACAGTGGATCAAAGGACACAGCAGCTCACGTGGCAATGACGCAGCAGATGAACTGGCCAGAAGAGGATCGGAGATGGACGCCATAGGACTAGAACCTATAGTGTCCCTCCCCTATCAATGGTCAAGAGCAACTATACACAATGGTACAAAAACTATTCATAATGACACCTGGACAACCCATACGGTTTGTAGACAGGCTAGGGAAGCACTCCGCATGCTTAACGCCAGTCTTATCTCGTAAATTTCTTAACTTCAAAAGGAAAGAGCTGCGCATTCTAACTGCCGCTCTAACGGGTCATGGTCCATAGAATAAACACCTTTTCAATCTAGGTATCACGGACAGCCCTCTATGCAGAGCATGCGTGGAGGGGGAGGCACACATCCTACTGTAATGCTCCGGCGTGGCCAACTACAGGGCAAAAAACTTGGAGTGCCAAGGTCGCTCCCCGAATTTTTCGTACAACCCAGAAGAGTGTTGAGATTGATTTTTGGAGGAGCTTGGGTGGCACGAGTAGGACCCTGCATCCACTACACGCAAAATAGGCGCTTGGACGTCGAGTTGCGGACAACAGCCCATTACACCATACCATACCATCTCCTGAAGGTACTCGAAAAATTATGTCGGCTATTAACCTAGGACCTTGTATAACGTTTACCGGAGATTAAAGGCACCAATGCTAATAATAATAAAGCCTAGAAAGTTACTCTTAGAGAACACGAACCACCGCTGTGGGTAAAGAAATCTAATAAAAGTAACAAAGAAAAAACCGTAAACGGCGTTAAATTGTAAGCATAAATTTTTATGAACCCTCGAGGTAGGTGATATCGAGCGCCCGCTGTAACGGTTGAAGCCAGCTTCTCAGCACACTTTAGCATTACGTCAGTACCTATTGGATTTATAATTTATATGAACAGGAGCTATTGTTCTATCTGTCTGTCTGTCTGTCTGTCTGTCTGTCCGTCCGTCCGTCCGTCCGTCCGTCCGTCCGTCCGCCCGTCCTCCCGTCCGCCCGTCCGCCCGTCCGCCCGTCCGCCCGTCCGCCCGTCC